CTTTGTATAGAAAGTTCCCTGATCTGTTGGTAAAAGGCAACAACAGGGAGAGATACTGAGGCATCAAATATGACCATTACGATTTTCCCTTGAACAACTGGAAAAATACTATTGTCGAGTACTGAGATGTAAGGTATGGGGCGGGGGGCAGGGAATGAAGTTTAAACTATAATTAATTTGTAGAAACTATGGAAATTCCAGTAAAGATACCCAGTGAGAAAGTTTTTAGGTAAAAGTTCTTGATCAGAGCGGAATTTTTGAGAAACAGCATAAGAGTAACATTTAAAGTCATAAGCCTAGAGTGTAAGTATAAGTACAGATAGAAAAGGTGGAAACTTAACACTGGAGTATGTAAATATTGGAACATAAGGGGAAAGAGGAGGAGTCAACAGAAGGCATTGAGCAGAGACCAGTGATGAAAATTAGTGAGTACATGGGGCTGGAGAGACGGCTCAGCGGGTAAGAGCACTGACTGCTATTGCAGAGGACCTGAGTTGGATTCCCAGCCCCCACATGGCGGCTACGAACTGTCCTTAACTCTAGTTCCAGGGGAATCTGACGCCCTCTTCTGACCTCCACAGCATTGCACGACACGGGTGCGCTCACATATATGCAGGTAATACATTATTCGCACACATAAAATAAAAATAATAAAATATTTTTTTAAAAAAGAAGAAGAAAATTAGTGAGTACAGTATCCTAAAAACCAAGTGAGTGAAGTCCAGCAGAAGGAAGGGGTGATCTTTGAATTGCGTATGCATGATAAAGCAGGGTGAATTCTGAGAATTGAGCCCAGACGTGAGCAGCATGGAGACTCTGTTACCTTCTTAAGGCTGCCATAATAAATTGCCACAAATGTGGGAACTTAATAGGAATTTATTCTCCCACGTTCTGGAAAATAAAATTGTGTAATTAATATATCAGCAGGGAAACAGTTTCCCTGGAGCTCTCCTGGAAAGCTCTGTAAGGATCTCTTTTTTATATAATTTTTTTTAATTTTTGAGAATTTTATATCAGCACTGTATTTATATCATTTTCACTCTTCCCTCTCCAGGAAACTACTCCATTTTCTCCCTCTGAATTTAAAATTATTGGGGTGTGTGTGTGTGTGTGTGTGTGTATGCATGTATGTATCCTACTGAGTTTTATGTACATGTATTTAGGGCTGATCACTTGAGGTTGGTTAACCTTTCAAGAAACTTGTCCCCAGAAGACTGATTCTCCCTCTCTCAGCAAAAGCTCTTTGTCTAGGGTGGGACCTTATGAAATTTCTTCCATCCATCTCGGCATATCAACTGGTGTTGTGATTATGCAAGCCTTGTTTAGTGAGTATATTGTTGAGATTTTGTGGGTACAGCTGCTGTCATGTCTGAAGATACTATCAGCAGATGTCCTGGTCCTTTGGCTCTTAAAATCTTTCTGTCCCCTCTTCTGCAATATTCCCTGAGCCTTAGGTACAGTGGTTACATTTTAAATGTATCAGTTGGGCTTAGACACCCCATGGTCACTTATTCGCTGCATTTTGACCACTTGTCAATCTCTGTAAATCTCTTTTGTCAAAAATGATAATTTTTTAAAAAATTTCAAACTTCTTTGATGAGTGGTGAGAACTGCACTTATCTGGGTGTATAAGAATAAA